ATGATTCGACGAACCGATCTCTCCTTTCGGATGTACGCCAGCACGTACGCATGTACGCACTTTTTCACCCGTACGTCGTCTGTGTTTCCACGAACTCGCCGTTCAACGGGAGTGGTGGATTTCTGGTTGGATGGACTGGTTTCGCTACGCGAACGCTAATCGGTTAGCCAAAGAGCGCGCGTCTCCGTCTCTCGTAGTCTTTCGTTGTCGCTCGGGCGACAGATCCGTTCTAGCCGAGAGAAACCGTCGTCTCTCTCTCTCTCTCTCTCTCTCTCTCTCTCTCCGCATGAGAAACGAGACTCGCGCCGCGACTCTAGCTCCCTACTTTCCAGAATATTCGAGATTTCTACTCTCACGGACGATTTTCTACCCGTGTCCCGGGACCAGACGCGAATGCGCCACGTATGTTGACGCCTTCCCTCCCCCGCGAGGGACTTTTGTTAGTTATCCCGCCGTGCGGATTATTCCTGCAAACGGCGACAATATAATTACATCGGTGGCTCAGCCTGTCCCGCGGCTAAACTTCGTTAGTGTCAACGTCACCAAAATTCTGCAAAAACAACTGCAGCTCTCTTCTCCGAGAGGGAGAGAGAGAGAGAGAGTTCGATTATTATCGCGCCAACTCGGCGCACAATAACAACATCGTCACTTTCTAAAAAGCGTGTCGTTCACATGGCCGAGCCACGTCGTGAGCCAACGTGTGAACGTGCGCGCAGGCCTAATCACACGCGCGCGTACGCAGCGTTGTGTCGCTCGGCCGCGATCCAGAAACCCCGCGTCGAACAAAGAAGATCACGGTGAAGTTTGCGCCGCAATGTGGAAAACATCGCGGCGTTCGATGGCTGCGCCCGAGCCGGGTCAAGGTGAACGGGCGGCCACCGTGCCCGTTGGGTCGCGTTCGACGAGCGAATAGCAGACGCGGCGCGGAGGACTTCCGCGACGTGTCGTGAGAAGCCTCGAGGAACAGAGAGGCCGTAGGACCGGCTGGCCACGTGACTTCCCAGGAACCCGGTTTCCGTTCTTCCATACCTCCTTCGCTGCGTTCGTCGTACGGCGTGCAACTCTCCTTGAGAGAGAATCGGTTCGCCACCGATTTCCAAATCGTCCAAGTGTCTTTATCCCCAGCGAAAGAATTCGAATTTTCAGTACGTTTGATCCTTCGACTCTCGCGCCGAGCTGCGACTGGCCATCTTTGCTCGTTTTCTTTCCCTCTGGCCAAATATTTCTTGGCTACACGGAATTATAAAACTGATCGCAAATTGAA